TCATAGATTTCTTATCGTAGTAAGTGAAGTGAAAATCTGTGACAAGTCTACGGGTTAAGTTGAGGGCACAGCGAGTTACACAGAGGACTTCCACATGGGAGACTGAGGCCTGTTCTGTGTGAAGCCAAAGTCAGCAGTGACTTGTTTGTATTCGTGTGTATGAAGCTCGTACACGTGTGACGAAACAAAAAAGAGAGGAAAGAGTTGCAGGAGGAGGGGTGAATATTTCTCCAAATGCTGTTTTTCGCCTCCTTTTATTGATTTCTGCAGTTTTAACGGATGAGTGAATGTGGGTTGGTTTGTGATGCTGTAAATCAAAGATGTTTTTCCAAGTGCCTGAAACGCATGTAATAAAATATAATGAGGTTTTCAATAAACCAGAAAAGGAAGCTAAAAAATTTATAGATCTGAGAGCTAAAAGAGGCTCCACACACGAAGCCCTTTGACTCCACTGATAAATCTTTCTTTATAAATCCTTCTCTTAACCAGAGCCACAAGCTCACACACTGGGCGATCACGCACTGGGTCTTACTTTGATCTGTCTTCGGGGTGGCTCCGCTCCACACGTCGCTGGAGCAGTACGGGATGAACCTGTGGGGGGCGCGGGAGAGAAACAAACACTGTTAGGAGAACACGGGCAACCTGGAATCGCAGCCAGACTCGTTTAGACATTTAGATTTGATGATGCCGACAGATTAAAAAGCCCCGTTGGCTGTGTGACAGTAAACAGAACACAACAAGCACAAGTGTGTGCAGGCAGCCGGGCAATAATGACAAAAACAACATCACTGTGTATCTTATATTGTATATATTCTAAATGAAATTATCAATAACTGCAAGGAAACTTGCAAATAAACCATTTAAGCTTAAAAGGGTGTTGGCTATGCTAAATTCCAGCTCCATATTTTCATTTTTTGACACACTACTGAAGATGCTTTGCTTTATTTCTATGATTCATTCCTACAGTGGGATAGGATTGGGCTTAACATTCTACATATTTCATTATTTTTGTCTATGCTGAATATATGCTGACCCCATCACTCATCCACCACTGTAACTGTATATAAAAGACAAAAAATGGAAAGCTTTCCGATAATTAATGCTATTTGTAACTTAGTATCAAATTTAAACAGCATAGTTCTAGGCAATAATCTTCTTTAGTATACTAAATTTGCATTAACCCATGAGAAGTAGTTCACTGTCTCAAGTATCACCTCAGCCATGGCAACACCCTGTTACGTCATAAAAACTGACTCGGTTTCTTTCAAATTAGAGCTTGTACTTCAAAGTAAAAGTATATATTTATCACAGAGAAGATCACAAACTGAAAATATTCATATAAAGCAACCAAAATGTTAAAAAAACAAACAAACTCATTAACATAAAGATTTTAATACTGACAGAAGTGAAGGAATTATCCCTGAAAAAAACGAGAAGGAAAATGCACAAAAGCATTAAATGTACAGAGAAGGAGCGGCATGCTTTCTTACACCATGTTGGCGTTCCACCAGTGAGGGTTTTCCTCCGGCTGCGGAGACAAAATTCCCCTTCCTGTAAAAGGAGGGAAGATGGATGAGATGTGACATGATGGTAACTTTATAAATAAACTGTAGAGTTAAAGAGGTCAGAAAAAGGTCAGATGTGCTGCGACAATTCTTTAATCCTGCTTTGTGTTTTACTGTTGAAGGTGATTCCCCTGCGACAAACAGTCGTTAACTTTCTCTGCTTTGGTCAGCATTTACACGTAGGCACTAAAGAGCCTGTGTGGCTGCTGCACTGCCCACCGGTGTAAAGTACACAGAGTCGGAGGGAGAGACTCATAAACAAACAAGGAGTTCCCTGATGGTTGGAGGGAAACAACCAGAGAGTTTGACTCACGATGATTAGTGCGATCTCAGCTAAAGTGGAAACGCAAACACTTCAATGGATCTCATTCATTCAGAGGAAGTTTTTATTTCCTGCTGAGGAAAGTGAAGCCTCTGTGAGGCTGTGCAGAGAATTCACAAGATCTGCTCAAACCAGGGAACGCCTTCATGCCTGGCTATAATCACTGAACATTTCATTAGGTACAACTCCTCATTAAAGCAAACATCGAATGGGCAAATCACAGTGCATTTTGGCATGTGGACAAAATGAAGGCGACCTGATGAAGTTCAAACCGAGCATCAGAATGGAGAAGAAAGGTGATTTAAGCAGCTTCTTTGAGTTATTATTGGTGCCAGACGGATTGGTCTGAGTATTTTCTGAACTACGGATCAACTGGGATTTTCCCACAAAACCATTTCTACAGTTTACAGAGAAGTGACCCCCCAAAGTAGTTCTTTGGATGAAAATGCCATGCTGATGCCAGAGGTCAGAGGAGAATGGACAGGCTGCTTTGAGCTTTAGCAGTAACTCAAATAACCTATTGTTATGAGCAAAGTATACAGAGGAGCATCTCTAAATGTGCAACATGACGGGCTTTGGCAGCAGAAGACAGCACTGGGTGCCACTTCTGTCAGCTAAAATTGTGAAACTGAGGCTACAAATCAAAAACTAGTATAAATTATGCTAAAGGTATTCATTTAATTTAAGTAAAGACAATATTCTTGAGTGTTTCTTGTGGTCAGTGGTTTGATCCCCGTCTGTTTACCTCTGGAAGTTTCTTTGAGCAAGATACAACACTGTATGTCTATGTAGGTTCTCTCTCATCCACTGCATGAAAGTCAGGAGTGCTTAAAAAGCAACTGGGCTTCTTCAGGTTCCTGAAAAAGTTTTCCTTTTCATCCAAGAGGATGTGTCAGTCCTTCAGAACTACATACAACTAAATACAGTATCTTGCCCAAGGAAACTTCTAGAGGTTAACAGGTGGAGCCTGTTTTGGTGTGCTTGCTTTATTTATTCAGACAGCAGCAATTTTCATTAATTGTCTATTCTAATAACTACAGCTGTTCTGGCTCATGATAACAAGCATTTTGATTATTTAATGGAGTTTTACTACAGTCAGCTTCCAAGGACACTTCATGATGATGGAGAGGAAGAGAAGCAGTGCCATGTGTCAATTTGGGCAGCCTCAGAAAAGCAAAAGAAATTGCGAGCTGTTAGTAAATGAGCAGCCAGATAGAGACAGCAATGTGTAGAAGTGGATTCCTGAAGCACACACTGTAGGACCTGTACCTGTTCTGGTTAGTGGCCACTTGGTGGAGCTCATCAGTCTCCTCATCGTCTCATACCTGCTCTCACAGGTCTGACTGTCGAAGCAGTACCATCCACCTGAACCACACACACACACACACACACACACACACACACACACAGGTTACAAATAGCTTCACTGAGTTCCCCGTGTGGTCTGAATCAGGTGTATTTCATCCTCACCTTCCAGGAACAGCAGCCACCTCTTGCTTCCTTTTGACTCCTTGATGTAGTAACTGCACAAGAACGGCAAAACAAAGCAGCGTGAAAGCGCTGATGTATTCACACATTCATGAATGAATTCAAACAGTCTCCACACACTGGGGATGCTTCCTGTTATCCTGAACTGACAGATCTGGCTCTGATCACTAAGCTTCTCTGTAGGAGCCAGGGTACTGCAGACCCGCACATGTCCGGTTGTGTTTTTTCACATAGCGACAGGAAACTCACCATGCTGCTGGCAGCACACACACACTCACACTTGATGCGGGTGGCATATCGAAAGAGTCATCTCATTCACAGCGATTTAATTCATATTTGGCCCACAATATATTATAATTTACACTTGGAACAGAGTTTAAAAACTTTGACATTGAGTGGAATTAACTGGTGATTCCATAAATCTTTGAACTATCATTAGTTATAATCTTTGTTGTCATTACTCTTAATTTTGCTATATCATAAAGTCGCCAGAGCAAGAATAAATGCCCCTCTCTCTTCCTCGCTCGCACTCTCCCTCTCGTGTACGCGCTAATTTGCAGCGTGCATGGCGCTCTCTCTGATCTGATCCTTTGATCCATTTTGGTCACATCCGGAGTGACACGGGAATGGAGCACACGGATCTAAACCAGTAGTAAAACGCAGATCGGGTGTTGGGTGTATCTGCCCCTCCGTGTCTCAGATTCTTACCAATTACTGTCAAAACTGTGGTTTTAAATCACGCATGTAGGTCATTAAGAAACTCTGGAGAATCTGCAGGTCATTCACTTACCCTGCAGGTGACCCGTCGTTGCAAGTCACGGACAAGTTCTTCAAAAAGTGCAGCTTCATGTCCTGGTCCAGCTTTTGCGCAGAGCACGGATAGAGTGACTGCGCTAAGTTCTTTATCTGCACTACAAAGTTGTCCATGTTGCCCTCCACAGCTGTGAAGTCTAACGGGAAGCTTTCTGCTCCTTCCACCCGCTCCCTGTACGGCGGGGGCGTCTGCTGCTGCTGCACCCTCCGTGTTTGCGCCCGACCGCCGCGCACTCTCCTCGCCTCCACCGGTGCGCTCAGGTGGATGAAGAGCAGCAGCAAGCAGGAGCGCACCGCGGACAGTCCAAGTGAATTTCTCGCCACACCACGGCTCTGCATTTCTAATTATTACTGGAGAACGTTCCTCGCGTGTTTGCGTGGGCTCTGAAGAAAACACAGCATATCCTATGAGTGGGTAGATCGACGGGAAGTTCTTCGAAAGCGCATGGAGACTTCAAGCAAACGATCTCCTATACCAGCAGTGCTGGCTAAAAACAGCTTATGGGTCTCCATGGTGCCCTGAGAGATGGGTATCTGGATTCAAAATCATGCAAAATGCGCGTGCAGTTCCAGTTCATTTCCTTAAATCGCGTGCAGTTCGTCCAGTAAACGGGTTCTTCCGTGCGTAAAAATCTCTGAAGTTCCGTCCAGCTCAGTCTATCCAGTGACCTGTTGCCTTTTGGTTCAGGTCTTATAAGCTGCGGATGAAGAGGGAATTTATTTGAGGTCCTCCCCTCTCCTCCCCCCGTCCCCCCTGCCTGCCCCCGTGCTTCTCACTCCCGCGGGCCAATCGTTATTATCGTTGGCGGATGCTCCTTGCGGGGCGTGGGTCTCACACCAAGAGCGCGCGTATGCCTGGCACGCCCCCTCGGTCGGTTCACTCATACCCCCGGCCCCTTTGATGTTGTGTCATCATATGACCGCGCAGCCTTTGAAGTGTCTTTGATTGAACATAGTGTGTGAGTAAAAAACGCAGTTGGACACGCCGTTCCGCTGCAGAAGGTCACGCCACTGATGCACATGTTTTGCGGCTTTTTATGCGCTTCAGAGTTAAACTGCATTTTCTTTGTGTGTGTGGCTCAAGATAGATAATCAGATAATCTTTTGGGCTATTTCACAACAGGAGATAAGGTCGCTGGAAGTTTTTAAATCATGAGTGTGGTATGTGTAGACAGCGATAGGGCGAACAGATATCGCTTTGAGGCACACTAAAGCATAAATCAACACTTATTACTGACAAGTAAAATATTTAAGCTATGCTTGTGAGTATGTGAGTTTTAGATTATTATGTGACAATTATTAACTCTGTTGTAACTGTTGACTGTATTGAAGACCTTTGACTCATCCTTATTGTAAATGTGAGCCAGCGCTTCATCTGCTCCACTTTTTACGTTTCCTTTACAACCATTTTTTCCAAAACTGACTTCTTATTGTGTCGTTAAACCTCACAGATACTTGAACAGAATCCCAAAGCAATTTGAGAACCGGCACAGGCTGGCCTGGTTGGAGAACTCATCAGTGGTGTCAATGTCATTTTATATGTGACCAATTTAATTTCAAATGTGCTGGGTCAATAAAAACATTGTATGATTCCCCATTAAGACAATCTTTGTCAGTATGAAGTGGTTTGTGTGTTCTTCTCTGGGAGATCTTGTTTTTTCCAGCCACTGGAAAAATAGAATAGAATAATTCTGCACATCTAGGCTCAAAAGATAAGAGATTCTTAATCCCTGAAAGCTTCATTTTCTAAGAAGATGGTGAAACTTGGATAAAATGAATCATTTGTACAGCCACTGCAATCATGTGATTCATTTTAACCACTTAAAACACAGGTTAACTTCTGGTGAAGTGAAAGGTTCTCTGAGATTTTCACATCTTGTTAAACCATCCAGGAGGCCAGACTGGACCTATGGGTGGGACACATGTAGCTCATGAGCCATATGTTTAACACCAGAAAGCTATGTTTTCCCATATTGTTTCTTTTACATCTGCTCATCTTTAAAAGTCCCCATTCATTCACCAGATCCACCGTCCTCTGATGACTAACATTCACACACTGCCTGTAATTTTATTTCGATCTTTGATGGTTTTTTATGATGAAAGGAACACTTTAAAAAAAAGGTCTCTCAGCATGTAAAACCCACTGCAGATGCCTTTATAAGTTTGCGCTCTATCCAGACAGTTTTGAAGTTTCAGTCCTGCTGAGCGAGGAAGGAAACCGATTGTTTGTTTGTTTGTTCAGATGGTGGCAATTTCCCACTAGGACTGAGAAGCGCATTCATTTCTGTCTGTCTGTCTCTCTTTCCCAGGTGGACTTTGTCTTTAAATGTTGCTGTTGAAGCAGTCAGTCAATCAGTCAGTTGTTCGGCCTCTGAAGCTCTGGCCTCACACCTCTCCATCTGTTGGCACCACTTGTCATGTTGTTTGTCTCGTCTTATTTCAGCTTTGATCCAATTTGATCCATGCTGAGAAAAAACAGCCTTGATTGTTGTTGCTCAAACTGCATACATACAGTACATTAGGTTTTCCATATGGAGAGCAGATTGACTGTGTGTGACTGCGTTGTGGTCAGTTTACAGACAGGATCAATTTCCTTCTCTCATGAGGCCAGATTGTGTTTTCTTATTATGCTTTTAAGGTCAAGGGAAGAGTAATGATCTTCATGTTGTTTTTAGATGCACACTGTACAGTTCAAGCTGTGGAGGGGTTTTTTTTCACAGAATGAATAGACCTGGTTTTAGATTTTTATTTTACATTCGAGTCTGATGTTGTTAACCCACTCAAATTATTTTTTCTAACACAAACGGATGTGTAGAAAAGACCTTCCCAAACTTAAGTCTCCCCTGTCCACCCAGGTTAATGTGGTGACTCTAAATGCCATGTAATTCACATCATGTTTATAATTCATAAATAATTACGTTAGCTGGATTTAGACAGACTAGTCAATAACCCTAACCCCTTTGGTTTATTCTGACAAACGGGAAAGTAAGAGTTGGCATTAATATGATTAATGAGGTCTTATTTTTATGTAAGTGTTCTAGTAAGTTGCCAGTATACACAGTACATAACATGGGATCCAATAATAAAAAATTACAAATTACACCTTATAATATCATACTGACCCATTAGAGCAGTTCAATCTCTAAAAGCAGAGTCGGAGGCAAATCCCTCAGCTATCAGGTTAGCTCCCAGTTTGGGTTCAGGAAACAGACACCCTCCCTACTTTTAGATTTGGCTTCAAACTTTCCTTTTTGATAAAGCTTAGCGTTTGGGATGGATCAGATGAGTCTAAAGCATCTTAGTTATTCTTTTATAGGTTCAGGCTGCTGGGACACTTCACACAATGCATAGACCATTTCTTCTATAGTCCACTCTTTTCACACAGTGGCATGTAAACTGATGCATTTACATGCCACTACTGCATGGCATTAAATTGTGTCTACCCTCTCCCATAGCATGTGTTATGTTTCTGTCTCTCTGTGCTCTCTTTGAGACAATGGTTGTTTTGAATTGGCACCGTATGAATAAATCCAAACCAAACTGAATTTGGTGTTAACATATTTCACTGTAACGTTTTTAAAAAAAGAAAGAAAAAAAAGGGGGGGGGGGGGGGGGGAAAAATAAACAACTAGCCAGTCTAAACTACAGTAAGGCTTAGTAAATGAGTATATTGTACAAATTGTGTTTTTAGTATATATATATTTTTGCATGTTGTAGCACTTTAAGAGACAAGCAGATGTCTCTTAAAGTGCTATTTGACTATTGCAGTGGGACGCTAAAACATTGTGGGGGTTATTTCTTCTTAATTTTTTTAATGTCTGTATAATTTACATTATTTTGCTTGGATAATAACGCTCATAAAGGTGAGACGAAGAAAATCTTAAAAGTTGAACGAACTGCACCTTTAAGTGTTGCCGCGACAGAGTCAATAAAGCTTATTCAAACAAACACTGTGACGTCAGGACACGCAATGGCTGCTAGTGGCACAGCTGTAACGGTTCTCACTCCCAATGGGAGAAGGCAAACAGTTAAAGTGGCTCCAAACACGCCATTACTGCAGGTGAACTTTTTTAGAGGAGCGTTTCATCTTTACTTAGGTGGACGGCTTATTGAATTCTACGCTTTGGTTACAGAACCGGACTAAATTCGTTTCCTCCGAGTTAGCTTGCTGGGCTAACAGTTGTTAGCCAGTGACTGATCAGTTTGTGTTTTCGTGCGGATGAAATCAGATTATTTGGGAGATTTTGTGGCATAACTCGTGTTGTAACATTTTCCGTCTTCAGGTGCTGGAGGAAGTCTGCAAGAAGCACGGATTTGACCCAGAAGATCACGGTTTAAAGTGAGCAAATGAACGTAGCTGTAAATCAGTTTTTGTCCCTTCAGATTAAAAGCCTTTCACCTGGATTACATCCAAATACACTTTAATACATAAACAATCGCACTGCACAGTAGCGGGATAGTAATGTGTGAAGTATCCGTCTATTTACATAGTTAAAGAAGTTAAGCTAGTTAAATGTTGTAAGCGATTTTCACACATTACACAACTCTGTTTTGGTTTCAGATCGTGTTTACTTATATTTAAAAAATTGGTGTCACTGCAGGAAAAAAAGAAACAAGACAAATTATGTGTCAAAAAAATTAAATCAAATTAAAAATTGATAACTGTTTGTAATGCATTGATCAAATTTAGTCCTCGGGCTCATACATCATTCTTCACAGCTGTCCAGCTACTCCACATGAAACATTTAATTGCTCGCTTTCTCCTCCACTGTTAACATTTTTGGCAGGTTTCAGAGGACTATTGTTGACCTGACGCGGCCATGGAGGTTTGCAAACCTGCCCAACAACGCCAAACTGGAAATGGTGACGAGTACGAGGAAACAAGTTATAGCTGACAGCCAGGTCAGTTCAAACAAAGTGCAGCTTGGGGCTCAACGATTAGTCAGATTTTAATCTGTTATGATTTTGCTCTCTAATTGTTGCGAAAACAAAAATAATCTTAACTATCTTCTTTGCTCCTGGGTTTGTTTGTTTGTTTGTTTGTTTGTTTGTTTTTGGGGGGGGGGGGGGTTGGTTTGTTTGTTTGGTTTCCTTGTTATAAATCAAGTGCACAGCTTTCATTTAGAGAGGTGTGTTTTTACTCTCCCTAAAAGTTCAGCTTTTAGTTTAACCCCAACCAGGGTGTCTATAATTCAACTTTTGGCTACAAAGATCTAATCAAGGAAGTAAATCTTTTAAGGTTTCTTATGGTGAACATGTGAAAGAAGGTCACTTAATTGGAGCTACCCCAAAGAAGAGTTTGTGTCTACTCCTGACCTCAAACTAGGAATCTTTCATAGTTGAAGAAAATGCCCAGAAAATGACACTTTTTAAACTCCAGTATCTACGCAGTGTCTCTTAATCTAGTGAATAATGTGCATACTTTATAATATTGACCACATTTATCATGATTACGACTTTTCCTATAAGCAAGCAGCCTTGGTGCATCTATGTATGTGTGGGTGTTAGAGAGAGTCAGAAAGGAAAGAAACTCTCCAAATCCAGTGTTTGGAGACTTTCCTAGCCACGCCATTAATTTTTTATTTTTTTTTTCAGATTCATGGTGTGCATGAATCAGAAAAAATGTGGAAACAATTCTTTTTACCTCAAGTCTGATTGCAACACAAAACATGCTCTTAATAAAAAAAAATATTAAACAAGAGCTCATTTCCAGGATCGGCATTGCCAGAGTCCTTTTTATAGAAGTACCACAACTCGGTATCCCTTTTTGAAATGCCTCCAGTCATTTAAATGGGGAGTTATTTGAAACACCAGAGTGAAAAAATATCTGCTTAACTTATTTTAAGTGACTTTGTCTCGATGAAAGTTCGCCAGACTTTTTAGCCTTGAGTGGCCAAGGTAAACATGTTCAGAACATACTTCTTCACCAGGGTTTTTCCTGTATAAAAAGTGTTTGTGCCCAGCAAAGAGATTTTAGCCTTCCATTAGAGGAAGCTCACCAGGACTTTTATTTTTTACATGTTTTATGTAAGTGGGGTTTAATTAAGTTAAGCTTGAATGGCGCATTTGTTTTTTAAATAACAGGTGAATGCGTAGACTTCTGTTACGAAAGGTCACATAGGCTATTTGCGTGGCGTGCATATTGTTCAATAAATAAAATTAATTTGAGTCCCCTTAGGGCTATTTGTCCCACTCATGATCATGTTTGAATAGCCTTAAGTAGCCTCATGTGTGGGTCAGTCAGCCGTGTGTGTGGGTTTCTTTATTGTCCGTACCTGGAAATGCCTGAATTCTCTGTCACTGCTCTCTCTCTGATTCCTATCCAACAAAACACTTTGTTGTAGCTGAGCTGTAGTTTCCTATGACATCATGGCATCATAATCCATGCCGTAAAATTCACGGCTGGGTTTGATTTGCTGTTTTTGTTCATTTGATGGATGGTTGACTGTTGATACCTGGCAGATTTTATACAGACGCACACATGCAGGCACCTCTGGGGCAGACTGGTTTGCGGGAGTGTTTCGTGTTTGACCGTTGACAGCCAAAGCCCTCGTTTCATCTCTCCCGGTGTGCTGACATGCAGCGTGCTTTCTGTGCCGAACAACACCGTTGCAGAGTAAACAACTCGCAGAGTGACTCAGAGAAAGAGCAACAGAGACTTGCACTCATGTCTGATGTTACTTATTTTCAGGCTGAGGTAGGCCCACATGTGCAGCTTAATCATCTTTGATAATCAAAGATGATTATCTTTGATTATCAAAGAATTTTCTTCCTGCTAAATGTATCAAGACTGATGAGCCAAGAACTTACAAAGTTCCCCACCGCGGGGGATTTTCAAAATCATTTCCTTTTCGGCATTTAAGGAGATGTGAGTCCAACAGCGTGAAGTGCTTGTACTTTAGATTTTATTACTTTTAGCTTCTCTCAAAAGAAAAATCAATGTAAATAATTTAAAGAAAATCTTACTGTGATAATTATGTGTTTAAAGGGGCCTCATTGTGCTTATTTCCTCCTCCTTAGTTTTATTCTTGGGCTGTTAGAGTAGCTGTGCATGATGGATAATCCAAAATAATCCTTATTTATCTTAACCTGGGCCTGGATGCAGGCTCTGTTCATCCTCCATCCAAAACGAGCTGTTATAGGTGTTTAAAGCCAACTTTCTTCTGATTGGCTGCTGCCTGGAAACACAAGATCTAAACTGCAGTTAGCTGGGACTGCTGTGCTTGAGGATGTCCACTTTCACCGACATCATGCGGATCCTAATGTAGGAAAACCTTGGTCAAACTGAGCATTTAGAGCAGTTTGAATCTTGTGCTCTGGGCTCACATCCATTATATATATGCTGATCTACGTATTTTAATCTTCTGTCATGTTTAACATGTTCATCCTCCACTGTAAGATAATAGAAAATAAGGAAAGGCATAGTGGGCCTACTTTTTGGTTGATGTCTTTCTTTTTTATTTATGGGGCATAAAAGCAGTGTCTTACTCAGATCCAGCTGGTGCCCTTTGTTGAATCTGTCACTATCCAACTTACCGTAATAAATGAAACAAATGCTAACCAGAGCTTTGGACTGTCTCATGTTGATAGTTTAGACCTGCTTTTTATTTCCATTATTGTTTTTATTTGGTTAATGGTTAAAGAGCGCCTTTGGTCTTTATGCTTAATCTGTGTTCCTGTGGTTTCATACGTGTCAGGTGCGGATTGCACTACAGATGGAGGACGGCTCTCGGCTCCAGGGTTCGTTCTCCTGTGGACAGACTCTGTGGGAAGTGCTCACACATTTTCCAGAAATCAGGTGTGTGCATGAACATTTGTACAGAGGCAGAATCTGTGTGTCTTTGTAAAAAACAAAACAAAAAAAAACAACCGTTAAAAGGCCTCAAAAGTAAATTAAATTGTGTTGAATGCCGACTAAATAGATTTTTATGATGTTAGTTACTGTGAGAATTTCTAGCATACAGGGCCTCCCTTTTCACCCCTGTTCACTTCACATATTTAGATCATGCAACATGGTTGTATGTTTGTTTGTTTTGGAAAGGGCTAGATATTGATCCATACTTTAAGTGTATTTTCCGATGAGTGAAAAATTGCAAAAAAAAGAAGACTTGGAATAGGAGGAACTGCAAGAATATGGTAAACTTGTAGCAGAACACATATCAGATTTAGAAGGCAAGAAACTACAACAAGAAGAAATAAAAGATCAAGAATGAGAAGAACTAAAAGAATTACTGTAAGAAGAAAAGACTGAAAGAGCTGCGAGAAGAGTTAGGGAAAAAAGACAAGAATATGTATCAGAAGAAGTACTAGGACAACAGGAACAACTAGAAGACTTGAAAGAGGAGCAAGTAGTTGAAGAAGAAGCTGGGAGAACTTAAATAGAAGAATTATAAGTACTAGAATTAGAAGACAAAGAACTAGTACAAGAACAAGAAAGAATAGAAGAAATTAGAATACAAAGAAATAAAAGAATTACTGGTAGAGTGGAAAAAATAAGATATAGAGGAACTACAAGTAGAGCTACAAGATGAACTTGTAGAAAAAGAATTACTAGATGATGTAAAATGTACTGTATTTTACTGACCACAAGGCACACCGGATTATAATGCACACTGTCAATGAACGGGTTGGTTTTCATACATAAGGTGCACCGGATTATAAGGTGCATTAAGTGAAACAAAACAGTCAGATCAGTAAAACTTTAGTCGACTCAGCTGCTCTATTCCCGTGTTGTTGCAGTATATTAATGACTAACCTCGTATTATGGATGGATTATCTCACTTGTTCTCCTGACTGAAGTTTGGTCTGTTTACAGCACCCTGCCATGCAATTGCATTTGTCCCTAACCACCAGAAACCCTCACGTTAACTTTTATCGAGTGGAAAAAGGTTAGCGTTCACCCTCCAGCTTGACTGTGTTTATATTATGCTAACTGCTGTGTTAGCATAGCATAACCGCTAGCTGTGTCGCTAGCGATCACGTAGCACACCATTAAATACCAGCTAGCCCAACTTCAGTAACTCTACAAAAGTCACTGCTAGTTAATTTTCTGTCTTCATTTATGTTGGAAGTTATAGCAGAGTTGTATGTTTTATTTTTTTCTCAGTCAGAACATGGTATATCATGTTTAGGTGGAAACTAGCGAGCTAACTTCCTGCTAACTTCTAACTCTGTTAAAAAAACAAAAAAAAAAAACAAAACTGTTTTCATGGATGCCTGGATGTTAAACTTAATTGTTACACCTGGTAAAGCAGCAACGCTGATCATTTTATTAAAGATGAAAGAATTTAGACAGTTTTAACTCTCAGTGGTGCCGCAGTGTTCGTTTGACTTTGGGACCTGAAGACAACGGATTTTGGACCCAGATTACTCCGTGAGGCTCCTGACTACAGTAATGCTCTGACGTTGCAGCTTAGTAGCTTCCCAAAGTGATACTAAACCCTTTTTTGACAGATTTTTGAGCACCGTGTACCACATAAAATTGGTTCGAGGTCAGTAAGCACAACCAGAATTCATACAAAAGTCGCACCAGATTATAAGGCGCCCTGTCGATTTTTGAAAAAAAATGAAAGGATTTTAAGTGCACCTTTATAGTCTGAAAAATACGGTCCTAAAAAATACCAGAGGAATGAGTAAAAAGAGTAATCCTTTGATCAGTATCGCTATTTCGATCAGTACATCGATGTCTTGGAAAGATTTTTACTATATTGGAAAGTTTGGTTTGTAAGTGTAATATTTTTTTAAAAGAATTGAAAAATAAAACTGAAATTGTAGACATGAAAGAAAGTAAACTTTTGTCATGGTGTTACACGAAGAGGTTAATGGACTCAACACTGCATTTCATCCATCTTCCATAGCGTGAAGATTGTCACAATGAAAGCACGCCAGGATAACATTCCTTCTTCTCACCACTCCTCTACTGAAGTTTAAGCTTCATTCTAACACACACACGCCCGCACACACATGCAGCTGTTGCTCAGTAGTTCCAGCTGTGCGGTCCCAGGTGCTCATGCATCCCTCCAGCCCTCATCTCCACTCCATTAAATGACATCACTGCATTTGTTGATACTTTTCCAAGCAAGTCATGCTTCCATGAAATGAATGTTAGCTCCGCGGCAACGTAAAAAGCTCAAGGAATGTTATGAAGCACAGAGGAAAGCTTTGATATTCAGAATTGAAGAGAACAATAGTAAAACATTTATGGTTCAATTAGGTACTACACGGGATTGTGCACACATGGTTTACACATGCTGATAGTGTGCCACTGCATTGCATGAGGTTTTATTGTAAAATCACCAAGCTTATTATCCTCAACAAGGAAAACCACTTGTGGGTTTTGTTTAAAGCAAATGAAAATCATTTTTCCAAGTTTTAATCTCTGTGTGTGTGTGTCTCTGTGTGTGCGTGCCTGTCATCTCAACGTCACCAGTGTGTTGGAGCTATCTGACTCAGGATCCACTCCTGTGTGTGTTTACATGAGAGATGAGGTATGCAGCGGTCTTTTAACTCTCCCTTTCTCAGGAGATGAAAGTGAATTTTATGATAACACAGCTGCTTGTCCACATGTGCGTGTCTGTGGATGTGCAGGTGAGTGGCGAAGAAGAACTAAAGAAGGCCTCTTTGAAGTCTCTAGGTCTTACCGGAGGAAGTGCCATTGTCAGGTAGGCTACTAGTTTTCATGCTTCATGCATTTTGTGGGTGTGACTTTATTAATTATGTATTTAAAACATCATATATAGAGAGTCTACAAGATGACTGCAGCTGTGACAAGCAGAAAAGTGTCCTTCAAGATGGTCTCCTTTTGCAGCAATAAACTGCATCTGCCGATATAGCACCACCTGCTACATTTGGTCACTCCCTAGAAGTCCCTTCTAAACCACTGGCAGTGCTACATCTCCTTCTCTGTGTTTGAAGAAAAGGAACATGTCTTAGAGAGCCAAATAGGGCTACCTGAATGTCTCGGCCAAAAAACTCAAATGTTTTCAGTATACTGTGAACAGGTGCAAGATGGTACGTGCCACAAACCACCCTATTTTCTGTCAGATGCCTCAGTATGTTCCAGTAGATATCTTCACAAATCAGTGGTGCCCAACACAGTATAGCAAAGTCTGTACTTGGTTGGCGATGCTATCAGCCAGTAGTTGTAACAGAAAGAACAAAAACAAAAACAAGTCTCCCTAATGGGCGAATTTGTTGTTGGAACATTATAGTATAGTTACACCACAGATACGTCGGTGCAGTCACAAAAAAGGCTTGTGGATGTCCACACTAAGCCAAACATTCATTATCTGATGATGCAATTGATGTCACTTGTACAGACGTGGACTCATTTACGGATGCAAACACTTTAAATGTAAAATTTAAAAAAGATGGCCCGAGAGCACACCGACATCTCGGCATAAGACAACTACACGCCCAGTGCACCTTATGTGGACACTGCAAACTGCTTTTTGTTCTCTGGCTCATAGACAAAGAAATATCAATCAGTGGTGATGATCCTCGGCATGAAGGTCAGGTGGGTTTAACACAAAAGTCGATACTGGCGGGAGTTTTGAGGTCTATGGGGAAATCGTAGTCAGAATGGGAGTAATTCAAATGTAGTAAGAGCTTTAGGTTTGGTCCATAGTGGAACCAAGGAGATTACGTTGAAGGGGAAAGAACTACATTTAACTTTTTTTTTTTTTTTTTTTTTTAAATCACCCTGTATTAAAACAATATAAACTGTTTGGAGCTGGAAATCTTGATTTTATTACTAAGGTTTATGCTTTCTGGTACATTTACTAGCTGTTTTTATGATTTATGTTTAAGGTTTTTAGTCAAAAAGGAAAAAAACTCAGGAGAAAAAGCTGAAATGGATACACCCGCTATGCTAACTACGCCCATTGCCATGGAAACCACACACAGTTCATCCCCGCAGCCGGATCCCGCTCCATCGGTTCCAGAAATGTCAGCAACAGATGTGCCAAGCCCAGATAAGCTGGCGGAAACCCAAACTGTGCCATCTTCTGCCACATCTACAATCACACTACCCGTTCAACAAGAAGACGCTCCAAACCCCCAGGATGCCGTTCGACCTAAAGACCCTCCCACAGGAAGTCAAACACCAGAGGACGATGGTGAAAAAGCGGGGCCGTCAGGACTAAACTGCCACCCATCATCTCCTACTTCTTCAGCTCCTTTCATTCCTTTCTCCGGAGGTGGTCAGCGCCTCGGCGGTCCAGCTGGAGGAGCTGCACGTTCCCTCTCTTCATCATCATCCTCATCTCTGTCAGCGCTGACCGCTGCTGTTGAGTCACCCAAAGCCAAGAAAGCCAAATCCAGCCACGGTTCAAGCACAAAGGTCAGCCAAACCATGAGTTTACTCGGCCTGCCAGGTGTATGCACTAGATGTTTTTTGTTATTAGCTAGTGTGTCTTCTTGGCCCTTATGCTGCCATTAACCAGTTTTCAACATAAACCACAAGCTCACAAAAATATAAAGACGATGAAAGATAAAAGCTGTGAAATGTGAAGCTCATATTGATGTTTTCTGTTAAAGGCATGTGTTCGCACATTAATGAAAACTTACCACCTCAAATCCGATTATGTTGCTTATTAAGGGAATTTTTTGTTGGCTTCAATAATTGTCCTTTTTAGCTTGAATATTTACAGTCCTGATCTGATCAGTAATTGGTGAAACTGGACCTTTTCTGTTCCTTTCAGTGTAAAACCACTACCAAGGTGCAGCATGATAGTACGGGTGATGCGGAGGAGTTCTTAGAGGTGAGTTTGTTCTGTAACCTCTTTATTTCAGATGACCAATTTCTCTGTTTGTGGATTTTCAACTCCTTCATAAATTAACTGTGTTTTCATATCTGCAGTGTTTAGTCAGTTTAAATTGAACTCTGTTTGGTTTTCCAGCTTTGTGTAGTTCGTTTGTGCAGGATTGAACACAGTAAATCACCCACACCGAGACCCTTTGAGAAACCTACCGTACCAATCTATGCTTGCTACTCTGAAATGCAGCAAGACACTATAGATGTGCCAAGGTTAGCAACTAGCCGTGAAATCAACGTAAATTCTCTATCTTCCCCACTGGTCCAGAACGCAGCACCTTCTTCCTATATTTACTTTTGTTGCTCCCCAAACCCATTTGGCCAATAAATGGGCTAATATCCCCATTTGGTTTGTAGTGATGCATTTTGGTTTGCTTGGAGTTCCCTTGGTTTGAGTTTGAATTTACAATCTTATCAAATGATTCAGACCAGGGTAAACGAACTGTACGTTTAAGTCTAGACACCCAGAAGCTGTTTTATTTTATTTTGAAACTCTTATCTGAATGATTGTGGAGAAAGCCAAGAGTAATTTTAGTGGCCACTAGGACTAAAACCTGCATCTGATTTATAAGAAGCTACAGGCTTTACCTCAAAATAAGGTTTATGTTACACTACAATGCATACATCCAGTTTCACATCATTATACATCAATGCAGAGTCCTGACAGAGTCGACATCTCAGCCACATTTAACCAGAACACTGAACAAAATACATGCTGGTAAACTTACATCTTTACCACAGTAGATTGGGATGATGATGATGATTAAAAGGGGCTCAAACTGTTGTGAAACTCTGTGCAATACAAATAGTTTAGAGGTTTCCTGGTTCAGCTGTGGTCTGGCTCTTTGTGGGGGGTGGGGGGGCATCACTGGTGTACAGAAATTGTTTGTAGATGTCTATTGGTCAGTGATTGTCAGCTTTCATACATACCGTCCAATGCCCACTTGCTCTTCACCATGTGGAGAAGCAGGGGATCGAACCGCTAACCTTCTGATTGGTAGATGACCCTCTCTACCTCCTGAGCCCCAGGCAGCTGTATTCACTTTGTCTAAAGAAACCTTTAAATTCAAGGCACATTAAAATTTATGCAATGTTGTGCAGTAAATTCTGAATACATTTAAGAGAAAACTCAGACGATCACTTAGGAGGAGCAGCATTTGGCGATGGTGGGGAAGAAGAACTTTCTTTTAACAGGAAGAGATGTTCAACAGAACCAGGCTCAGGGAAGGGCAGAATTCTACCGTGGCCAAAAAGGGAATAGGGATCGTGAGAAGTAAACAAGACTTCTGCTGTGATAAATAAAGCTAAAATTTGGACACTTGAGATCCAAATATTGTTGCGGACACTCTTATATTTCCCTCTGTCTGCAGCCAGTGGAGAGGGAGCCTCTCATCTACCACCTGGACTCTACATCCCATCAGTCTGAGGACTACGGGGATCTGCCCGACGAGTTCTTTGAAGTGACCGTGGATGATGTGCGGAAGCGCTTTGCCCAGTTGAAGAGCGAGAGGTGGGGAAGGAGGAAATGGTTGAGTGACTGGGTGCAGTATTTAGCACAAATACCTTGTTGCTGCAGAAACACGTCTGGATCCGATGTGTTTCTGCGCTGTTTGGAACAGATAATTAGTCAGTTTGGCATTTGGTCCTGCGGTGTTTTGTCCATGTATAACCCTTAATTGCAAAAATAGCCTAGCAGTGATGAGAGACCATAGGCAGGGAGAATGCTGGGCATCACTGTGTGCATTTTGAAGTTTCTGTATTTTTACTTGTTTATTTTTTAAAATTTATGACCAGTTTGAAGTTTTTAGTTATTTATGAGCGCTTCTTCAAAACAGATGCGTTCAAGTTTATTCTGCAATCTCTGGATGTGGCGTCAGCAGACCACAGCTGTTGAGACATCGTGTGTGTTTGCAAACATGTTCTCATTTATAAGACAACACACAAACACTACAAAAGCTTCTAAATATGGCACGCTGGGAGCAATTAGTAGTTCTGTTTCGTGTAGACGTTTATCTTCCAGCCATCGACCAAACACCGTCAGGTTGAGACCTCACCGCTCGCATCCTTTAATCTCTGTCTGCACTGACATGGCTGCCTCATGGCTACTGCCATGTCAATGACTGCAATTACCAAGGGTGGAATTAAGCCGACCAAAGCAATTTGCCTGTAACACGCACGCACACACACACACACACGGCCACACACGAGTAGGGGTAGGAAAGAAACAGTGATTCTTTGTTTTCTTTGCACATCTTACTCATTGTGGGTGAAACAACCTGCTTTTTATTTCTCAGCTCATTTCATTGTAACTCTGTGTGTGTTTCTCTGTCCCTCATTCCTCAGGAAGTTTTTGGAGGAGGCTCCGCTTATGACTAAATCTCTGAGAGAATCACAGATAAAGGAGAAGATGGATAGATATCCCAAAGTAAGCTCGTACACATAATAACATTTTAATATATGTACGTTTAAAACATACAGACTATAAATAGCCCAATCTGCCTCTCCAGGTGGTCCTGAGGGTCCAGTTTCCAGACAGATATGTTCTACAGGGCTTCTTCAGGCCTCTAGAGACAGGTGTGTGTTTGTGTGTGCCTCCGTGTGTGTGTGCGCATGCAGTATGGAGAGTGTTCATTTCAGCTGGCTAGCCACAGGTATGGCTGCAATGTGAAAGCTACTTGCGGCTCCCTCACCGCATTTATGACTGTAGCCACACCACAGTGACAGAGACTGAAAGAATGAGACAGGTCTGTAATTCCAGAGACGAGATGCACCTCAGCCCGAAAGCAACACGACAACCAGCAGAACAACAAATTGCAGGGAAATTCCTTCTGACAAATGAATTACAGTCCACACAGAGACCGATGTAGCTGCACACAGCGCAGTTTGTGCTTCAGCTGGTAATCTGTGTCTTTGTTTGTGTCTTATGTCCAGTTGATGCTCTGAGGCACTTTGTAAGGAGTCACTTGGAGGACCCTCAGCTCAGTTTCTACCTGTGTAAGTATCGTTACATTTCCCCGAATCGTCATCTTCATCCTGTGAAGGTCTGACCATGTTACAGCATCAGTTTCTGCTTCTGGTTTATTCCAAATCAGATAGGATAATAGTTCTGATCATAATTACAAGCACATTGAAATCACCTGAAAAACCTCAAATCTGATGACTGGCTTAATCCAACCTCCTCTAGTGTCAAATAAATGCAAAATTAACACTTAACACTAACTGCAAAAAATGCTGATAAACTCAAAATTTCTAGAGATCTACATGCAATGAGGCAAACTTTTCTATGAGCCTGGAAAAGGAGGAATTTTCTACAAACGTTTTGGATCCGAATTATCAGTTTGAATTGTTTTCATTTGAATTGCCTGGATTTGGATTTTCTTCAGTTAGATTTTACTGATAATGTCGCTTTTTTTAATTTAAACTATGTGCAGGTACAGTTGAGCGAGTTTAAGATGTATGAGGTTACTGAAAGTGAGGTTTGGTGACAGCTATCCAAAGCAAAACTTTTTTTTTCCCATATAGAGTAAGCATTTGAGAGACATTTTATTAGGTACACCTTGTACTGAGTCAAACCCCTTTTGCCTTCAGAGGTGCCTTCGTTCTTCGTGGCACAGATATTCAGAGAGATGCTGGAAACATTTTTAATTTTTGGTCCATATCGACATAACATCACACAGTCGTTGGAGATTTGTTGGCGACGCACCCATGGTTTTAATCTCCAGTTTCAACTCATCCCAAAATGATCAACCTTAAAATGATCAGCAATATCACCTGCTTTTATTATTACCATTGTTTTGTTTTTTTAATTTAACTCCACTTGTAAAAATGACAGGAACAAGAACAACCAGTTTTAGCCTTGATATGTGCTGCCTACACACAAAGCTTTGAAACTGTATCAGTTTTTCTGTCATGTTTCCAGATTACAAATCAAATGTGAATTAGATTATTTTTTTTTTAAAGCATCTTTTTTTTGTAGTTAAAAGTTGCTCCTGTTGTTTTGTAAAAGCTTAAGTCTCTGTGCCGCGTCCATTTGTTTTTCATTCATTTGTCAGCATTAACTTTCCTGTGTTCATATATATGTTGTATTAAAGACTTTTATTCACAGTTTATCATTTTGACCATTTTTCTTATTCCTTTTTCAGTCATTACCCCTCCAAAAACTATTCTGGATGACCCTTCAGCTACACTTTTCCAGGTACGACTCCTCACACTGTCCTTCAATTACCTTGATAGAGCTTCTAAGTAATAATACTCAGTAATAAAACGGCTGAATTAAACCAAACAAACTTCATCACTGTGAAACTGCAGAAAACAACTACAAAACCTTTTTTTTTCCTCAACATGGACATAAAATATATCAGCTGGTCCTCCTCTGCTCTTCAAAGCCTCGCTGCATTCCCGTTCTCCCTTCTTCCCTCGCTTCTGCTCGCACTTGTTCCCCCCTCTCCACTGTCCTTGACCCCAGCTGGGCTTGATTTTTCCCAGACTGGCACATGGGGTTAATACAGGCCTTGCTTTGATCTCAACACACACACAAACACACCAGCGCTCACACACATACACACACATGCAGAGCGACGGGCAGCTTTGATGCTTTGTAGCCTTTGAGTTTATTCAAAATGTGAAGAGACACATATGCTTGATCACCTCGACACTCCCGCGCACTGCTGGTTCTTGTATTTTTAGACACTTTATTTTGGCAAACATTTTTGTCATCGGCGCCTTTCGTTCGTTCACTTGACACTGTGATTCAACCTGAAGCGCACAGAAGAAGAAGTGGAGGAAGAGGCGGATGTTTGAAGTGATTTTTGAAGTGATATCGTGTTGTGATGATGAGCAGGATTCAGCTCCTCTGAGGGACTGCTTATAAAAGATAACAATCCTCAAAAGTGCACTTTGAAATATGGCTGCGTTGGTGCGTTCATACCCCTTTGGTGTCACGATCGCTCTGAATCACGTCTGATGTTCTGATGTCATTCTTTGTTTTTCATCTTTTCATCCCCTTCTGAACTCTCCCCGTCTGTTTTTTCAGTACTCGTCCCTCTCCTGTACCCCAACTCTGGCTTTCTTTTTTTCTTCTTTTCTTTCCTCCTCCAACTCCAGCACCCACATGGTCCCTCTCTCCGACCCTCTCCTGTGCCTCACCCCTCCTCTCTCAACCCCATGTCTCTATCCATTAGGGACTTAAAAGCGTTAAAGTGCACAAAAACAAAATCTTTAATCCGCCTTGGTGTCATTTCTCCCATACGCACACTGTCTGGCTCCGCTTCCCTGTCTATACATCAATCATTGACACACACATTTAAAGAATCTTTAATCTTTTTTTGTCATGTCACATAGACGTTGACACACACACACACACACACACACATACACACACACACACACTTTAATCACTTTGTGTCATGTCAGGAAAGGAATGTTTCCCAACCCAGAAGTCCTTTGATACCAGTCATCCCCTCCCTCATCCGTCTCCCCCTCTGTCTTCCATCAGGATCCGTTCTGCCTCTTTTTCCTTTTCTCTCTCCATTCCTCTTCTTCTTCTTTTTTTTTTTATTTAAACACATTCACCCTCTCCCTCCCACATACACTGGTCTCTTCTCGTTGGCGTCGTCTTTTTCCCGAATGGAAATGTTACTGCTGCTGCCAGACGGAGCAGGATTGCAGGAATGCCTGTTGTTTCACTGTAACACATTGTTTCCTGCTCACAGGGCTGTAATAATAGCAATTAGGCCAGTGTGTCCCAATTTAGCAACAAGAGAAAGGACAGTGTGTGTGTAAGACGGCCTGTGGTGTTGGGTGAACCCGCCAGACCCCAGCTACAGCCTTTATTTTACGCTGTTGATTATCTAAGAGTCTGGAGGGAAAGTTATATGCAAAATGTTTTATGGCATCATTGCTGCGTCTAATGTATATTTTAACTACTGATTAGAGTGTCTGAAGAGCCTCATTCCTCTAAAAAAGAAAAAAGATATTTGTCCTCCTAGCAGCTCGGCAGCAATCTTAGTTTGAGCTGTCATCTTCATCAACTGCAATTACGCTGATTATCGGGACATTAAGACTGCATTATAGGGAATCCCCAATCAACAATTTTGACACAATAAACTTTTTAAAAAAATATTTTTTTCCCCTTCAACGTTAGTCATTTCTTACTGTTGCAGAATTCTTCTGAAGAGTTTTGGTCCAGATTTTTTTAAATGTCTGGTTTCTTTCTTATTATGTCTTTTCACATATGCAGTTTATGTGGACAGAGATGACCTCTACCATAAAGTTCTTCAGGCACATGTAGGAAACAGTTACCTGTTGGAGGAACTGAACAGAGCCCAGTCTCTACATGATTTAAGTCATTTTGGATCCAGGACAAAGTACAGTCCTCACAAGGATAAAACCAGGTTGTCGAGCGTGACAAGAAGTGCAGTTACTTATGTTCACAAGCTGTAACAAACATATATTCAGCAGACACATCTTAAATACAGCAGTTAACTTTGCTTTTTAACACGAATATCTAATCGGTCAATCAAATAGCAGCATCTCGGCACATTCAAGCAGGGAGACGTGGTCAAAACAACGACCCGCTGAAGTTCAGGCCGAGGATCAGAATGAGGAAGAAAGTGTCTTTGAATGTGGTACGGTTGGAAGACAACACCAGGTGTCACTTCTGTCGGCTAAGATCAGGAAACTGATCAGCAAGTCACACAT